TTCCTTCCTTAGGACAAGGTTCTAGATCATTGATCCACCCTGAAATAGCCATTCTTATATTTTTACCATGTCATTATGTCCTGGTGAACCTTCTTAAACTTCTTTCACACAAACACTTCAATGGCCTATATCTGTGTCACTCAGGGCCTTTACACAACACTCAGGGCCTTTACACGCTTCTTCAGATTTCAGATAATGGTGGCAATGCTGCCTCTCCATCCATTACTCTCAGGGTCCCATGCTTGTGGATGGGTTATTATTGCATGCATTCACCTTCTCCCTGTTGCTGGAGTCAGAAAAAGTGTAGTGTTTAGTGACAGTACATCAGTGCTCAAGGCTGGGCTAACCTCAGTGGTTAATGACACAAAAAGGTGTGTGAAAACCTCCAGAACTAAGGTGTCTGGCCAAAAGTCCATACAGGAGAGCAGGTAGTTGGCAAAATCAACACAGTCATCGTAACAACAGAATCTCCTTCAGTCTTTGCTACAACAGTGCCTAGATTAGGCACTCCCTCCACTTTGAATGGCCACAGAAGTTCTGCTTTCAGAGCGGAGGTACCTTTGCACAATTGCATCACAAACATCTGGGCATGGAACTGCAGCCAATGTTGCAAGCAGAGCTGCCATTGGGACCGAAGCAACCTTCAACTCATGGTTAGCAGAATTTCTCATTTTCATGTGTCAGGAAAGAGTGGAGGCCCTGTGGAGAGGGGATCTGTACCAGTTGCAAGCTGTGTCATTCTTGGGAATGCAGGGTAATAGGAGAGAGCACGAATCAATAGTGTTAATGGGTGGCCTTACTGACTTCTACTGACTTCACCACCAGGGATATAGAATTAGCTTTAAGAGAAAGAAGTAGGGGAAGAAAATAAGTGGGTTCTGCTGACAAAGAGAGGAGGGGAAAATGGAAGAAGAGTTTGGAAGAAGGAAAGTCATGAGAAATAGAGGGAGGTGAGGCATTTGAGTGTGATAGGTTTTTTGTTTAAATGGAAAGTGTGGTAATCTCCCCATGTTTAGGTGGTGTTTGAGAGAACCTGATTGGGATTTATTAGAAAATAAAAATGCTCTAATTGAAAGAGAGTGGAGGCAATTTGTATTAATAATGGGAGAAATCATCAAATAATGGAATTGTTTAAAATCTATTAGTTTGCTCCATGCAGTGAGAGGAAGGGGTTGATTATCTTGCAATAGAACGTATTAAAAGGAGAGCTCAGCCTGAAGGTTCCCTATGCAGATTAAAGATGTAATTTATTGAAGTAATTTATTTTCTGTTGGGAAGAAGGGGGGAAAATGGAAAAAAATATGATAAGAGCTGCAGTCAAGTATTGGATTCTTAATTTTAAGACCTACCTCTTATCTGCCCTCTTTCAATCAATAGAAAAAAATTACTCATTCCTTTGTTAGGTTTGAAGCTGCAGGAGCAAACAGGGTGGCTGGGGAAAAAAAAAATCTCATGAGGAGGCCTGTTACTCACCTCTTGAGGTTTATATTATTGACAGCAGTTGCTTCAAATCCAAGGCAAATCAACCTTGGTCTGCCTGGAGTAGCAGCAGGCAGATCTTAGAGGTCAACACTGAGGTGCTGTCTATCTAATCTTTTCCAAGGACAAAAGGAATGTGTTCTAAACTGGAGATTGATTCAGAGCTGCTTCATTCATTCATTCATTCATTCATTCATTCATTCATTCATTCTGTCTGTCTGTCTGTCTGTCTGTCTGTCTGTCTGCCTCTGTGATAATCTGGCCTTTACAAACCAGAGTGAGGGAATGACAAATTGTATTTTGTGTATCTAGTATTCACACTTACAGTCCCTTCCAATCAATGGGAATTTAGGTGCCTAAATAGGAATTAGGCACTTAGCTGTGTGTCTGGTTCTGGAGCTCTCCCTTGACCTATGATTTGCCTGGCAGGCCCACTGAAGTGGCCTTGCAGGCTGGTGCTTTTTCTGTTCTTTATTTTTCTTATTAGATGTCTTCTTGCCCATTTTCTCCTTGCTCCATTATGATCCCCTGATCCAGTATCATCACAGGGATCTGACAGGACTCCACAACACTTCCTGCCTCCTTCTTCCTTGTGTCATCTGCTAATGCTCTTCACATTGCTGTATCCAAACAGCTCTGACTTGTCAGCTTCACCTTGTAACTCCACACTGGTCTTCGTTTGTAGGCAATAGGTCATGAAGTCCTGCCACTCTCAAGTAACCTCAAACAATCTAGACCCAACCATCCTTTGTTCCAACCTCAACATCAAAAGCTGCCAGAAGAACACCATTATAAGGGGTGGAGTGAGGGAAGAGAACAATTAGAGACAGTAAGATAGTCTTACAACAATCTCAGTACTGAGGATAAATCAGTGGGAGAAAGAGACCAGACAGCAACAGTCCTTACTCTGCTTGCCATCCTCTTCTGGCCTCTAGGTCTGAGTTTATCTGTTGTTCTTGAGCAGGCTGTGGCTTAAGCTAGGAAAATTTCTGGCCTGTCCCAAAGGACTTGAGCATATCCATATCCAGAGGAACCAGGCTTTTTGCAATCCCAGAGATTTTTCTGCTTGGTGCCTGAACATTATGTTTATAGGAGACATTGCAAACACTATCTCATTCTCCTAAGATAAATAGCTGGATTCTGCCTTAAGAAACAACGGACAGGGTAAAAGACATCAAACTGCAATTGGAGATGCTTTAAGGAAACTATCTGAGGATTCAAGATTAATTTAGTACTGCAAAGACCATGGTTAAAAGTCTTGTCTATGAGAATCTGTTACATCCTAGAAAGAGGATAAAAGTCATTACAGAAGGCATAAAGATAATAACTAGAGGTATGGTTGGAGTGGGTCTAAAAGAAGGAAGCCAAAACAAAAGGCATGCTGATAAGAGAGCTATGCTGAGAGGAAGTTTGTGGTGTGGGCCAGAGATGGGGTCTTAGTGGCTAGGGTTCATTACAAGAGATAGCCTAGAGTTGCCATTGTATTGGGGCTGTGATGGAGGTGCCAAAGCTATCTGTTCTGCCAAGAGATATCTGTGCGAGATAATGACTTTTCACACCTATGTTTTATATGGAATTATTTTTACATAGTAACACCTTTTAAAGACTTTGTCAATCTAGGTGCTTTGATGAACACTTATTTCCTTTATTCAAGCTTCCAATCAATTCTTCTTCTGTGTCTATGGTCATTTCAGAGTTTTGTGCATGCCTCTACCCTAACACCTGTTGATTTTTTTGGTTTTTTTTTTTACATCTTTCTTTTCTTTTATCTCTGCTTTACATAGGGACAATGTAACAATATCATCTGCCTGCAGGGAGGAAATTTTCATTTAATCTCTTTCATATTGTGAGAGGCTCCTTAGTATATCCTATTGTACTGGGTCTGGCTGAGCCGGAATTGCTTTTCCCCTGTAGCAGCCCTAAAGGTGCTGTATTTTATGTTGGGAGCTGGCAGGGTGTTGATAGCACACTGGTGTTGTGGCTACTGCTGAGCAGTGCTTACACAGCACCAAGGCTCTTTCTGACATTTTTTCCCCCAGTGGGACAGGGTGGGCAAGATCTTGGGAGGGGACACAGCCAGGACAGCTGACCCAAGATGACGAAAGGGATATATTCCATACCATATGATGTCTGCTCAGTATAAAGCTGGGAGAAAGGAGGAAGGGGTGGGGTCACCCTTGGTCCTCTGAGGCAACCACTACGTGTATTGGAGCCCTGCTTCCTGAGAAGGCCTGACATCTCCTCTTCATGGGAAGTAGAGACTAAATCTGTTTCCTTTTTTTTTTTTTTTTTGCTTCAGCATGTGGACCTTTGCTTCGCTTTGGTTATATTAAAATTGCTTTTGTTTTACCCACAAGGGTTGGTGGTTTTTTTCCCTATCTTATTTTCTTTCCCCTCTTTGCCCTGTTGAGAAAAAAAAGGGAAGGGGATGAAGTGATAGAGGGACTTGGTGGGTACCTGGAATTTAGCCAAGGTCAAACCACCACACCTATTAAAGTGGATCCTAGACAGAGAGTGTGTCCCCACCTTCAAGAAAACCCAATCTGTTTTTCCCAACTCTTCAACAATCTGTCCATCAGCTTTCTAAACAGGGTCACTCAAGCATATTTGTGCATTCTACTACTTCTCCAGGTGCAGTGATTGACAGCCACTTTGATTCAAACTCAGTCAAATACAACAGTTCAGAGACCAAGAAATTAAAAAAACTTCAGGCTAAGGCTTGTATTTCTGAAAATATTTTCCCATCATTAATTTACCTAAACTGGGAGAAATAACAACAGTAAAAATAACTCATCCATACTTTTGAGACCACACCAGGTTACTGGGTACGTAGACAGAAGCAGCTCTATCAGCTACATTTATTTTGCTTTGGGTTCAGTAGCCATACAACTTCATACCAGTATGCCGATAGATCATGCCTGTACAAGCTTCTTTAAACACACTAGAATATAACTGTATAAGCACTGTCCATTGTCCCCACCCCACTCCCACCATCATTCTAATCACAACTGCAGTAACCAACACATTCAGAGGATGGCATTCAGTGATACTAATTATTGATAGGGCCCTGAGCCTTAACTGCCCTGAACAGTCTCACCTGAGGCTTCCACGCACACATCATCTCATCTGTCCATGTCTCTAGAGGTCTTTTTAAGATGAGGCCAAGGCACTCACTTTTGGTGTATTGTCGTTGTGTTGCTCCTGAATGGATCTGAGATCTGTTTCATCAGCTTGGTTTGCCTAAGTTTGTTAATAGATCTTGTTACTATTGCTACCCCTGCTCAGGAAGTGTGGTACCTTACCCCCGCCTTTAGGGTCACTGCTTGCCCATGCTTAAGCTACACTTGGCTCTATATTCATCCTTTTTATGGATGTTTCTCCTTGACCACTGCCATTTGTCTTTCTAACCATAACAAATACATATTTGCCCCTCTTACCTGTCTGGGGAGGACAGTATCACTGAAAATAAGAGAGGAGAAAAAACTGTCAGTATCACGGGCTGTCCAGAAACACATTTATACTTGCTTTACTGCAAAGAGGTGGGTATTTATTCTTTATGAACAAAAACAAATATAAGTACACTTCACTGTACTCCCACCCAATTGTTTCTCCATCATTAAGCATATGCCCGTAACCATGTTCCCCAATACTTCCCCAATAAGGTAACATAATGATTCTGGTGTACTGTGCTGATCTTGGCTTACTGTGTGTAGTGGGTAACTATTACTTTATTTCCCATTTTCTCTGAACCTCTGTGTGTGAGAGGGGCAAAGATGGATCCTGATATCAAGACTAGGAGGTAGATCAAAATGACTGTAAGTGAAGACACATGGGTCTGTAGCAGCCTTTGATATTTTTTGGTTACATACATGCACTGCTACTCATAGTCACCCAGCCAAAATGGGAATCCTGATATAATCTTCCTCCTGTCTCTGATGTTTGACAGCTGCACAGTCAAACAGTGCAGAACAAATTACACTGCTCCTAAAATCATTCCCTTTCTTTGTCAGGCATTTAAAATCATCTCCCCAGAAAGTCCTTTGAAGAAAGCACTTCTCTTGCTTGTCCTTTTCCCTTCCCTTTTCCCAAAGACTCTTCAATACCTAGAAGCACTGAACTAGAACCCTTTGGGGTTACATTTATACTGAACACATCCAGGACAGTCTGGGAACTGTTCTCAGGATGTCCACGCTGCAGCTGTTAGCCCACTCCTGAGCATGGCTGTGGCTTGTGCAAATCAGCAATCTGAGTTTCACGCCTGGTTTAAGGGGGAACCAATGCCAAGGGTCATTATATGGCCCCCTATTCGGGTAGAGGAGCATAGAGTTTAACTATCTGACTATAAATTATTTCAGGCCACTTGGATTTGCACAGTTGAGTCTGTGGCAGCTTGACCAATGCATAGTGGGCCAGCTCCATATTCTAACCTGGTCACAGACATCCAGAGCAAATCCTATTCACTCTTCTCTGTTCACCCCTGCAGAAGAGCACCAACCATCCTGGTTTTGGATGCTCAGTAGTCCAAGCTAGTGGAGGGATGGCAGGAATGGCTTTGACAACTCATTTGCACAGTGCCTCAAAAACAAATCTTGGCAGAGGATTCTGCTGACCCCTGCAATGCAGCCAAGAGGGAATGCCAGAATCTGTATTTCAAACTTTCTCTTTCCTTTGCTCCATTTAGTGCATCATGTCTGTTTCTTGAAGGCAGAAGAAAGTAAGTCTTGCCTTCTGACTTTTGTTAGGTACGTGTCTGGATGTGGGTCCATGTGCATTGGTGGAGAGAAACTTTCATGAAGATACAGGAATCCTTTAAAATAAGCAGAGTGAGAGATGGCAATGACAGATTTGTTGAACAGGGGATTTGAACCCGAGATAACTGATGTTGTTGGTACTGGGAACAGCAGTCAGGCTGGGCTGGGGAGACAAAAGGACGGATAATAGGAGCTGGGGCTAGGGATCAGAGGGGGAACAGTCCATGTATCTCAGCTAATTCTCTCTGGCAAGAGTAGCAACACTAATGGATATTAAAAGTGTCAGCTTCAAGATTTAGCAAAATGTTACCTCTCCTGATTCATCTCATTCTGGCACACAGAGTGCAGAGCAGAGAAGAAATCAGGGCCAACAGACTATATGTGCTGAGTACGGTGCTGGCCTTTCCTCTTGTCAGGGACCTTACTCCTGTGTCTCCACATCTCATGATGACAATCCTGTGCAGTGCTGTTTGCTAACAGCATGCCTGTTTCTAGGTGGGGAACCCATTGTCCAACACCCTTAGAGATCTGCTCTCATCCTCTATGCCCAATGGTGCCTTGTCCTTGAGGAGAACAAAGGGATACATGTCCATCCTTCGAAGTGAAGGAGTAAGCTTGGGTATGGAACCATCTTCCCTTGCCCCGAGTGGTGTAACATGGAGACATGGCAGGAGTGGCTGGAGCCCTGTGGGCTGGGTCTTTCCAGCCTGTTCTGGTGGCACTACCATCCTCAGTCAGGTATGACTTGCTTCTCTGCTCTGTGGCCAAGGGCAAATGAGATACTGCCTTTCCCCTGCTCTTCGAGACCCTCTGTGGAGAGATGGTGAAAGGAAGGGATTCACCTGCTTTTCCTCACTGAGCAGATGGGAGACCACTGCACATGGGGTGCCACAATGCAAAAGAAAAAGAAAAGAGCATTTAGGTAGAGGTGGAGCAATGTACCCTTACCTAGCTCCACCCACTCCCCATAACCTCCTTTGTCCTCCCCTCTGGTGGTTTTTTTTTTGGCACAGAAATGGTGTCTGATTTGGGTGATGGGAGGGAAGGGTAATGAAGGGGTAAGTATGATGCCTGAACCCTGTCCTGCTCATAGTGACACTAGATTTCACCCCCATCTATCCATACTCAGGCCTCATCCTCCAAAGTGCCAAAGAAAAGACCCAACTGGGTTTTGTCCTTCAACTGCTAAGCAGCCACAGGCTGACCTGACAGAGTTGGACTTCATCTCCCTCCGAGGTTTTCCTTGGCTGTGTTATGATTTGATCCATCTTTTTGCCAAGTAGCTGACTGCCACACTGCCAGCACTGGAGACAGATGCTCTTGTTACCCAGCCAGCTAGGGACCATTGCCCCTGGGGCTCTGGCCAGTCAAGTTGTCAGTGACCCAAGCAATGAGGTTTTCCTTGCAAGCTTACTCACAGCTTATAAGGAAAGCTCAGAGAGCAAACCTTTGGGTACCTGGCTTCCTCTGGATCCAAGCTTACTCCTTCACTTCGAAGGATGGACACTCCAAATTACTAAATTATTGAGTCTGACAAATCTTCCCTTACTTTAACTCACATCTCTTTTACTTCCACTCAGGCTTATATTTTGGGTTGAGGGAGTTGGAGAAGGAGGGAGACTAGCTCTGTCTCTGTCACAATTGCCAAGCCCTGAGGTCAGATGGGCTTTTGATGCATGCATCTTGATGGTAGATAAACCAAACCAGTGTGGCAGGGAGGTTCCCCAGAGGCAGCCTGATAGTTCTCTCCTACTCTCTCTGCCTACTTCCTCATTGCAGTGAAGGAGAAGCCGCACTGGCCTGGATCCAGCCAAGCACAATCCTACTGAAGAGCTCACAAGATAGGTAAGGAGTAATCATGGAAAGAGGGAGTAGGCAAAACCTCAGAAGAGTGGAAAAGCAAGGGAGAAATAGGAAGGAAGGTACGCATGAGTGGGAAACAGATTCTCCAGAAAGTGAATCAAACTGACTGTGCTTATGACGAAGATATCTGTGAGTCTGCAGTCCACCATCTCAGTTATGTTATTAGGGTTATTCCCAGTAACCCCAACAACAGTAACAGTGTCATTGTACGTAGGTGCTGTGCAGCTGTAGCAACTGCCTTACCCCAAAGAGCTTGCAGCTCAGTAGATGAGGCAACCCAGTGAGATGTGAAAGGGTTATTCCGGTATAATGTCCCATTTTATAGAGGCAACATAAGGGAAAGGTAAAGATTAAAAAGCTGACCCCCAGCAACACCGGGAGGTCTGAGGCTCAGCTCTCCACAAGTAAATTCATTGCCTTTTAATTCAAGGTGAAGTCTTGGCCTTCAGGTGCTCAGGAGGTAAGGGAGTAAAAAATCCTCTTGCCTTTAAGAGAGTTTCTGAAGGGACTCTTGGGCCCTAGTTTCTCTAGGCAGTCAAAATCTCTCTCGATAACAAGGTGGATTCCTCCTGACTCATATTCTATGCTCTGATGAGTGGTCAATACATGTTCAGACTAAACTTATCAGGCAAATGAGTTGTCCACAGCAACACCACTAAATAATTGTGAACACAGGCTGCCCATGTGCCTCTGTTTATCAATCTGCCTGCTTTCTTCTCACTTTTTCTTTCCTTTCTTCTTCCTTGCTAATCTTCTTTTTCAGTCCTAATCTTGTCCATACTCCTTCTTTCCATACTGGGCTCCCAGCAGCCCCATACTTCAGGTCTAAGCAGGTTTCCCAACCCTTGAACTGCACATCAAAGACAGCTCTGTTGAACAGAGATTATCGCAGTGCCTGAGATCTCCTGGTCCAAAACACACTGAGAATAAGGCAGGAATAGATGTACTAATTGGCTTCCCCTAAATTGTGCAAGCCAGCCATCACCTCTTGTCTCCCTGACACATAGTGATCTCAGGCACTTGCCCTATATGTTCCCCCTGCTGCAAAGTCTGGATCTCACCAACAGATCTGGGTGGCTGTGAGTTAACCAGGCCACAGGGTTTGTGAGGGTGCCCCAGGCCTTCCCTGCCCTCATCCCTCCCAGGCAGCTGAAGAGGTGGGCTGGTAGCACAATCGGCCTAGGGTGATAGCACACAGCCTTGGAGTCACATGCAAGATGGAAGGAGAGTTGACTCTCACATCCACCCTTATTTCTCATGTTTTCTTCCTTCTAGGTATTACAGCCTCAACAGGGGAAGGAGGCACAGTGATTAGGATCTCTGCAACAGTAGGGAAACAGCTTTGCTGTCTATTCCCCAGAAGGCATTTGACCTCCTTACCTCCTCCAGGACAGAGAATTTAACAAGATGAACTCTGTTAAAGGGTTTGCAGAGGAGAGGTAGTTCCAGCAGAGAAAATACCAACTTCCTGATTACAAAGTTGTTTTTTCTAAGAGAAATTTACCCTATGGGAAGTAGTGCAGATACCCCCTTTAAATGCACACATACACACCCCTAAGCTTCCCTGACCACAGGCTGCAAACACAAGCTGTTCAGACCCAGTTCCTGCCTTCTCACAGCCCCATCTCCTCCCATGAGAAGGGTACTCTTCCTCCCAGACCCCCGTCCACACCCTTCTTATTCTGAAGGCATCCCTTCCCCAAGCCATTCCTAGCTCTTTCCCTGGAGCATCCCTCCTCCCAGTTTTCCTCTACGCCCTTTCCTCAAGTCCCATTTGTCATTTGACTTTCTCTTCCCAAGCCTCCTTTCCACATACGTCTCCAGAAACTCACTTTCTTTCTCCTTCTTTCTAGGGAGAAATTCCACCCACTCTCCTTCACCACTGATGTATTCCCACCCATAAATGATGCTTATCATATTCCTAAAAAGAGCAGAGGAAGGAGCCAACAAGCCTATGAGACTTGAGTGGGCCCAAGGGGTAAAGCTCCCCCTTCCTCCTACAGAGACAGACATTATTCTGAAGACAGGGCTGGGACACGGTTGGGGGAGAGGGACTGGAGCAAGAAGAAGATATCGAAAGCACACTTGATGAGGTGAGCTGCTGAGCTGGTTTGGGTATTGTGGTCGCAGCAGCATCTAAAATCCCATTATGGCTTTACTATAGTGAGTTTAATACACTGAACCCTTCATTGCTTTAGCTGCCCCTGCTAGGCATCTCTGAAATTCACAGCCACAGGTTTTCAATCTCTTAGTAGTTCCCAGCTCACAGAAGCAGCCTGCCTGCTCTGGGGAGGGGAGAGGAAATAAGGAGCAGCTCCCAAACCTGCCTGGAGGACAGAGGGTTTGTTCTTCTCCTTCCCCCTGCACAGTAAAGACTCCATGGGTTTGATGAAGGTTACCAGAGCCCCATGGTTTCACCTGCAGCTCTGGGTGTTGGGTGCTCAGTCCAACAAGCCTGTCTCTGGAGAGGGGAGAGTTGCCCAAAGCATAATAGTGTATCTGGGTTGTATCCCACAGCTAAAGGGCTGGAGGTTTTTCAGAAGTGGGTTGAGCTGTGGGCTGTGCAAGCGTTAGGGATTTGACATGAAAATGGTAGCCTTGCCTTCTCCTAATCAGACTGAATGACTTAGGATCTTTTAGCAGCATGCTGAAAGCTTTCTAACACTTTCTGAGTTCTTGATTTTCCTCAGGGTACATGTTACATCTGTTTCTTCATGGAGGAGCCTGTAGCAAAGCTGGGAATCACAGAGGTGTCTGTGGGAAAGCTGAGAAGAGACTGTATTTTTTCCTGTGGCAAGATAAACATTGGCCTTTTCTTTAAAAAAAACAAAAACCCCCCAAAACCAACCCCCCCCCC